GTAAATGTGAAGCGACGTCGTAGGGGGTTGACTATATGAAAATGAAGTGCAATTGATTCTTTTTTGCTTTTAGGCGGTCCAACTATTCAAATAGTCCCATATTTTTTAATAAAAACATACAATTTTTAGTACTTATAATTATATTATATATTAGGAAATAATTTATAGTTGCTATATATATGTTTAGTAACAATTTTGTTATCAAACCAACAGTTGGCTCCATAGTGAAGTCAACATTCTATATACAACAAGTAAATCGTGTCATATTCATAAAATTATTAGTATTATTTAAATAATCAGAGAATATAGTGAAATGGTAATTATGAGTAATAGTTTAGCATTTTTTTTTAAAAAAAATATGATATTTAAGATTTTGTAATTTATGTTCATATATAAATTTTAATTATTTATACATAGTGGTAATGCTAAATAGCTGTTGAAAAAAAAATCATTAATTGTATTTTTTTATTTTTTATATATTATTATTATTATTATTATTATTATTATTATTATTATTATTATTATTATTATTATTATTATAACCCGTTTAGTTCGAGACACACTAGAATTAGAGTTAAGTCTCTTTATTGATAGTTTGTTTAAATTCAAGTTTTTCAAACCCAGTCTTTTTAGGCTGAATTCTTAAAACCGCTGGCTAGTCCGTTTAACATCTCTAGCCACAACAATAGTCCTCTACAAAGTATATTATTTGGGCTGTATATCAATAGCTGGGCCCAACACTAAACATAATCGAAAAAGAGTGAAAAAAAAAAAAAAAAAAATCCTTTCACACACTTTTATTACTTTCTCTCAGTTGTGAGGAAGCTCGCAACAATGGCGCCGCCTCCTGGACCTTTCTCCGGCACGAGCAGCCTCGCATTGGTAGCCTCCTTTTGAACCCTCGATCTATTTAATACGCATATTTGATTTACATTGAAGATTATATATTGCAATAAGAATTAAATTGAGATGTCTTGCTTGTGATTTGGGGACAGGTTGCTAGGGTTTCTGCATTCTCATTCGGACTTGTCTATGGTTGCGTGAAGCTTAAGGTTCTTAAGGTACTTTTATTTTTTCTTTTCGAATTTTGTTTCATTTTGCTTTTAGTTAGAGGAATTGAAATGGAATTTGAGTAGATATTGATCATACAGACTGTATTGAGCATCTTACTTAAGTTTCACTGGTTATCAATGGTTTGGTATACATTGTTTCTACATCTCACATTTGGTGGTGATAGTTCGTCTTTCTTAGTTTAAAATTGTTCTCAGAGCTTTACTTCGAAACTGAGGCTGAAATTCGATTTGTGATGAACATCTGCACTTAATTTGAGGTGATTCTTGTTCTGCAGAATGAAAAATTTTGGAAAAATTATGTAGGTAAAGATTTGAGGGGGCATGAGATATTTGGTAGACTGGATCCTATATGTGTGTGCAATGCCTATGAAGTGAAACATAGTTAGATATACGAGGCTACTACAAATGCGCTCGATTTCCATTTAAGTTGTTATTTATTCGCAAAAATGGCCGTAACATTTACTTTTATTAGCAACGAAACTATCTTTACGATTTGGGGTTGTTGTTTTCTTTAATGAGCTTGCATGATATATATAGTATTTGTCAATGACATGTTGATGTCCATTCTTTCTTTTGCTTTCTTTCTTTGTTTTGAATTTGCCTTGTATTGAAACAAATGTTCGTAACCGTTTGATTGTTTCATGTTTTCCATCTGCATTGTTACCATCTGTTTCCAAACATTATTCTTTCTTTGCAGGCGAAAGCCAAGTCACAGAAGAAGGCCGAAGCTAAAGGGCATCACTAGAGGACCTTTCCCCCCTTTTTTTTTTTTTTCATATGCCTTTTGTTTTTATTTATTGTTGGATAAAAATGAAGAGCTGATGAGCTGGATCGGATGTTACAATCTTGTAAAATTCATTTTACATACACACATTGTTTCGTTCTTTGTTATTTTGTTTTGATTTAATCAATGCGAGTGAATCTAGAAAATCGAATGTTTCTAACATTTAAGAAGTGTACTAGCACGTTTGTATCGTTTCAAAAGAAGTGATTCTCTCACGTTTGTGCGCAATTTTCCTTTTGTCATCCGGTGTGTAGGGCTCTTTGAATGTCTTGAATATCAGGCATTGAAGCACAGTGTGCATGATTTGTGTAAGCATATGCTTTTATATTTTTTCAGCAGTTCATAAATAGTGTTGACCATATCCTAAAAGAAACATGATAACAAAAAGCTCCAAAAGTCTCAGTTCTTATGAATTTGTTTGGCATTTGTAGAGCATGGTAAAGTAACCGGTGATTTAGAATGCCGGGCACCGGAGAAGGTTATTGATGGTATAAGAATTGAAGGGAATAAGCTTGTAAACGAGCCGAGTCGAGATCGAGCTCATAGTGTTCGAGCTCGACCCTTTAACGAGCCGTGTCGGACTTGACTCGTTCAGTAAACTAGCCGTAAATCGAGTTCAAGCTCAACTCGTTAAATAATCTTAACCGACCGAGTTTGTTTATTAATATACAATTTGTGATGAAAAAATAACCAGATAATGAGCTTGGATAACAAATTATAGATTTCAATTAGTATAAGTGGGTTAAAACAAGTGTCAAAAATGTAACTTGTATATATATCGATATTCCTGTAATCCGTAAAGTGGAGAAATATAAATTTCAAGGAATAATACTAATTAATGCGTAAGAATTGTTCGATCATTTTAAATACAATATAGCGAAACAGTCTTGCTATGAAGTTAACAGTTGACTCCATAGTGGAGTCAACCTTCTATATACAACAAATAAACTTACCATATTAATGAAATTATATTAATGTTATTTAAGTAATTAGAAAATATGGTAGGTTAATTTAACAATTTTTGGTACATTTCAAATAATCACTTACGGAAATTGCAGCTCATTATTTAAGGAAATAATTAAGTCATATAAATATATTTTTTAAGATACCTTAATCACTCAAATTAATTTAACCATTTATGGTATATTTCAAATAATTAATTATTGTAAATTAATTTTTAAGATACCTTAATTACTCAAATCGGCCGATTTACCAAAATATGAAAACTTAGGCTGCAATATCAATTGTGTGCTTTGGTAAAAAAAAAAAAATAAAAAAAATAAAAGAAAATCAACTAATTGTATAATAATTATCTAACAAGTGTTTAAAATTTTTCATGTAATTTTTTTTGTGAAATACATTTTAATATACCTTAATTATGTAAATTGTGTAAATCCGACTGATTTATTCAATTTGTAAATAATTATTACAATTATGAAATATCGACAACAATAATTAATTATGCAGTTTGCAAAAACTGTTCTATGTATTAATGAATTATTCTGTTTTTATGTATTTAATTTCTCAAATCGCGGATAATTAATGAAATAATTAAAAAATATTTTTTTTAAGATAACCTAATTACGCAGATCGTGTAAGTTCGATTGATTTATTTAATTATAATTTCTTATAAAATTATTCTAAAATAATTGTGTTAATGGCAGTTTCTATTTAATTATTTTTTAATAACTATTTTTGGGTCTTTTAATTTATTTTTATGTATAATAAAAGTGAGTCTTGATTTTCTTTTGTACGCTAGGCAATTAATTTTGTGGTTAAACTGAATATAATTTTTTGTATTTTATAGAAAATTTATGAAATCTAATTATTTGGTATACTATATATTGATCCAATATACCCGATTATGGTAATAATGGTATCTCAATATTTTTTTTTATATTGCTAAACATTTTACTCGATATTAATGAAAGAAAAATTTGGATAATACTATGGTTGATTCTTCTTTGTAAATGTGCGTAGAACATATCAAATTATTTAGTGTGTGTGTGTGTGTATACATATAAAGGTTTGTTTTTACTTAAATCACATTGTAGTCAAATCAAATTTTTGAATAAAAATTTTAAAATGACATTTATTTTTGAAATGAATATAATGTAATTTATTATCAGTCACTTGCCGTACTGGTCGTGTACTAATTTTAAATAGACACGTTGTATGTAAGTTTACACAAATTAATTTCATATAAAAATTTCAACAAATTAATAAAAGTAAATTGTATTACATATTGATTTCATATTTCTAATCTATAAATATTATTTAATAAAAATTTGTAATTTATAAATATTAATAAATATTTCTAACCGTGCATCGCACGAGATTCCTACTCATTTTAGTTTGAAAGCAAAAAAACAAGCTAAGCTATTTACACTATACAATATAAAAGATATCAAAACACAAGGAGGCATTTAAAACATGGGTTAAAGCCAATCTCTTAACAGGGTGTAGAACAAAACACCTCTGAGGAGTAAAATTTTTACAATTTTGCAAATCCAACCCACAAATAAATTATTTCCACGTGTCTTGGGGGGTCAGAAAACGCTCCAATAAACGCTCCAAATTACATATATGCCCCCATCACTGGGCCCCAAAAAAGAAAAATAACTATTAGCCCATTAATCAAATCAGGCCCAGAGAGATTCTGTAGAGACAAAAAAAGCCACAGCCCAAAAACATAAGATTACCCAGGCTGCAAAAACAATTTGTCTTCATCATCCCCTCCACAATAAAATGCCCCAATATTAATTAAAATCTTTTTTTTTTTATTATTTGAAATAAAAATAAATAAATAAATAAATAAAAATATTGAAATTTGAGTTATCCGAGCACTGAAGTTAGGGACCGGAAAACGACTTCTTCACAAGGAATGGTGAGGCCCATTTCGTGGTCGAACCCAAATTCCTCCTCGGCCCGCCTCAGCAGGCCCTGGAACTCGGGTCGGGTCAGGTATGAAATGGGCACAATGTACCGGGTCCGGTTCTCGCCCACGTAGACCGGGAAATGGCCCTTGGGCACGTCCGTCGGCGGCCCACCGCCGCCGCCGTCGTCGCACACGTAGTTCCTCTTGCCGAGGCTCGAGCACCGCCGCAGGATCTGCTTCAGGGCAGCCGCCGGCGGCAGCTTGCTCTGCTTCTTGATGCCCATTTTCCGCCTAAAATTTGAAATTTAAATGGATTTTTTTTTTTTATATATATATATATATTTTTTTCTGGTTTGATTTTTAGAGGCTTTGAAGGGGAAAATGGAGGTAGGCGGAGAGGATTGAAGGGGGTGGTGAAGGTATTTATGGAGAAGGGTGTGGGGTAGGGATAGGGGTGGAAATTCGGTGCTAGGATTGAATTTATTATTTCTTTTTCTATTTTTTTTTTTTTTTTNNNTTTTTAATTTTTTGTGTCGTGTGTTTAGAGTTGTTAACTACGATTCGCAACCACAGCTCGAATCGGCATGTGAAAGATTTGATGTGGTTGTTTACTTAAACGAGTCGAACTCGAAACAACTAATAGAGCTCATTTATTAAACGAAACTTGTTCATCAACATCTCGTTTTTATTCTCATTCTCATTGAGTTTTAAATGATATAGTTGAGCAGAATCGCAAACATACATTTCATATTCGGTATCAATTCATTTAAGGTTTTAAGTTTTAAGTTGAATTTGAGTTTTCACGAACTTAAACGAGCATACTCAACTCGGTCAACTCGGCTTATAAAGTACCTTTATTATATGTCTCGTGTCATTTATTTCTATAATGGAGTTTTTCAATCATACCATGTTCGACCTACCACGGGGTTTTGGGCTGATGTTATGATGAAGAGTACAAGAGGACAGTGTGGGCCAGGGCCCAATGGTTGTGGGGATCGCATGTTGGGCTGCTTATGCTTATGGGCCCCTCCTTGGTTATGGGCCACTACCAGTTTCTGCCCGTAAATGTCACGAGTAGAGGAGATATCTACATTATCGATTTTGATTTTTATGCATTAGTCAAAGTTGTTAACAAAAGTGGAAATTTTTAAGATGGGGAGAATATTGACATGTCTTTTTCAGAAACCATAAAGATAAGAGTATTTGGCCGTGGTTGAAAGGTGCTTAATCAAAAGTGAAATTGCACTAATTTCACTAATCATATACACACAATTAACTAGCAAAATGCTTTAACCCAAATCGTGTAATGCGGTATTTTCTGATCGACACTGCAAACGAATCGAACAGTTCGAGAACGTTCGAGTCGAGCTCAATATGTAATCTATACGCTCGAGTTATTGACAAGCCACTCAAATATACATAAAATAATCAAAATAATTCTAACTAGTATTTCTTTTAAAAAAAAATTAAAATTGTGAGTTATTTCCGTTGCACGAGTTGACTTCGAGCTCCAAATCAAGTAGCTGTCAAAAGCATCGAGCCTAAGGTCAATGCTCAACCCGGCCACATCTTGGTGTGTGTCAGTGTGTGAGTGGATTTTCATATATCTATATATATATTATATACACATATGTATGTATGTATGTATTAGTTTACTTAATTTTGTTAATTGTGTGTATGTGAATGGACACATAAGAAAGAAAAAACAAAAGAAATTTGGAAGAGGATTTGTGGCCTCATACATGGCTTTCACCGCATTTTCGAGTCGATTTTCAGGTTTCAACATCACAACAAATTTGTTCTGTACTTTGCTATTTTACGTTTCCAAACATTCTTTTTCAATCTCCCATACGCTTTTAATTCGTCGTCTTCTTACCAATATTATCCTCCATAATATTGGCGTTGACAGTTAACCGTAGTTTGTGACCCGTTGTCCTAAACGTCTGCGTCCGCCCCTGACTTTGAATATGTTAATTTATTATGGAACAAAATAGATAACACGAACAAGATTGCACAATTTGGCAGAATCAATTTTGTATGGCATTTTGTGATTGCTGCTAAATTAATATGTGAGCATAAAGAACACAAAACAAGCTTCTTGCTGCAGTAAATCCATGCAGAAAGCCATGTGAGGTGTTACTTTTCAGGTTTGACCGTATCATTAAACAAACAAATACAAACAGATTTATCAACAAATTATATTGAAATTCAGTACGAGCTTTACTTTACTGCATTATTTAATTAATTATATAACTACCAATTAAAGGGTAAACAATCACAACCCGATTATACTCAATATTATCAGTATAATTAAATAATATCAACCAGTCATTCTTACGCATCAACCTTAATTCATTAATCATAATCTCACATAATTTTAACTAACAATCACTTCACTTTATCGATCTTCTACTTTTATATCAAATCAATATTAATTATATTATTTTAATATAAACTCGAGATCTCATTAACAACTAACTATGTCACATTTTTCAAAATTAACAATAGTTAACCATAAAAACTCATTTTGCGTGGACCAAACCTCAATAATTCATTCAAACCACATTATTTTTATTGTTAGTGGATGGATAATTTTTTGCTGAAAATTGTTTAGCAATAATAAATTTATATTATTAATTATAGTGATAATATTAAGGATGATTAACTTAAGTTAAATAAAAATTAAATTTTGAGAACAAGTTGTATTCAATAGTAATACCAAAAAAAAAAAATAAAAAAATAATTACCCCTTTTATTTTTTTAAATGTCCTTTTTGCTTTATCAACTATTAACAAAATAAGTGTCGTTTGAATCTTTTGTATATATTTTTCAATTATTACCCTCATTTAGCTAATAAATACATTACGTCTTTTCATATTAACTCTTCACATTTTCTCAAAGCATTCATCTTTATCTTCAGTAAATAAGGTTATTATCGACTAAAAAAATATTCTTAATTATAATGTGCAACTTCTCAAAACGACATGAAAGTAGTATTTATAATCGCAATAAATCAAGATAATTCATACATAATGGTAATAATTTGGTATGGAAGACGACAACCTAACAATTAATTATTGAAAATTTGAAAATTGTGATAAGAAAACACGTGAACTTGCCACTCCAAGTACAGTAAAATCTTGGTTAAAGTAAGATTAATAGATTTTTGAAGAGTAGAGTCCATAGACTTCATTAGCTTTTGATTCTACCCAAAAACCCGTGATTTAACGGTCCCCATCTGGAAAATTTTGATCCTCTCTTCGTCAACTCTTTACCACCGTACGATCTACACATCCGTACAAATATGTATCTACGTGTGTGTTATCGTGTGGTTGTAAATTGTCCAAGTGGCACGATCGAATTTTCCCCAGGTTAATGTGATTCCCATATATGATGAAATAACCATATTACCCGCTCCAAGTAACAACGATCAACTGACAGAACAAGGATCAACTGACAGAACAAGAACCGAGCCCACGTAGCCCGAGACCGAGCCCGAGCCCGAGCCCGAACCTGAGCCCGCTCACTATCAAACATTCAAACTAAGGCAACTAGGGTCTAGGGTGGTATTGTGGTCCTGACCTGACAGAAACCAGCAGCAGAGGATAAAATAGTAATTACATGGGACAAAGGCCATTTTGAACAAGAACCACATAATAAAATTTACAGCATTGTACTATATCTGGCTGCATTCCAAAAGAGTTAATAATATCAGCATTCAGCATGTTCCAAGGCTCAGAAAGAAGCACTATTTTCGTTTATTGATTTATATATATAGGGTGATGGGCATATTTTGTATCTACATACAAATATTTATAGCTATGGGAGTGAGATTTTAAGAAAATAAAAAAAAAACAAAATGAAAAGAATCGGTTAATATTAACATTAGGGTTCGTGGACTCAGACACTCGGTTGATAAACTAACCCGGGCAAAAGACAAACTTCTGGTTAAAGTTGAAAGATAGTTAATATGAGTCAACTCGGTCCATTAAACGAGCACCTCCAGAATATAAGTAAATAAATTCATTCAATCATTCTTACACATCACATTAACTTTAATTCAAAGTTAATTCACTATTTATCCTCACATTTAATTCAAAGTTAATTCAAATTAACCCTGAAAAAAAAAAAAAACCATTTTGAACGAATTATTTGTATCCAAGAACGCTTACCAGTTGGGTTACAAACTCGACTCGGAACCAAATCACAATATTTCTTTCTTTTCTTTCTTTTCTTGGTCATTTTAATCACCAAAAAGTGCGGTGATCTACCAAAAGAAAGTAGAAATAATAATGCATCAAGCAATCAACTGAGTTTCTATTTTTTACAAAGAGATTGTGACCGAGCAATCCGTATATAGCACAAGAAGCCCACCCATGTTACTCTTGTCCTGAAAAACTGTCCTTGACACGCAGTAACAGTGTGGGCCTCTTCAGGCCCACTCCCAACTACTTTATACTGCCAGTTTAATCATCTCCTAAATAAAGGTTCTGACCCCTCTTTTATTTTTGATTCTTGTTCTATTTTTACATAATTTCACTGCTAATCGTACTTCGTCTTTTAGATGAGAAATATGACGTGAAAAATTATGTCCGATTTTTCTTGATCCGTACGCATTTCAATGCAAGTACTCTCTAGATTATATCAAGACAGGTAAGATTGCAATGTAGAAACCTATTGGTTCAACTCATAAAAGCTCAAACTCAGATCATTCGCTTACTTAAACAAGTCAGGTTGCTCGAGCTCGTTTATTAAACAAGCCAAGTTGACTTATCCGCAAATAGGATCTTTTTTTTTTTTTTTTTTTAACGGGACTTGAATAAAACAACCGATTAGAGCTTGTTCAAGAATGAACAACTCGTTTATGGTTTATTAAACGAGCCAAATCGACCGAGAAAAACACGAGCATGACTTCAAGAAGTTATTCAACTAGACTTAGATAACATCTCTAGAGATAGATAATTCTATCTCTTTTGAGATGTTGATGGGCACATTCTTATATATGGGAATTCAAAGTTTTATAATTAACCTCCTAAAATTCTCCTTCATTTGCAATTTATTTTCGGACGTTAAACTAGATTGGCTGTGTGATACCCACCGTTCTTATCTAGCCACGGCTGTCCAAAATGGGCTGTTGTTCTAAAGGGACATTATTTCAGACAGTTGGGCCAAAAAAAAGCTGGTTAAGTTCTTGCATGTCCAAAATGACCTAAAGAAAGCACCCTAGAGGCTATAATTTCAAACCCATGAACACAGAAGAACAAGAACAGAAGAATGTGACACTTTTACATGAAGGACCTACATAATTTAAGTTAATCCTTTATGGATAAGGATATCGAAACAGTTATATCTTGAAATGTATCACAATTTTAGAACAAAGTTCTCACATTTCTTTTTAATTTTCTTTTAAACAATTCTCAACCGTGTCAATCGTGTGTCTTCAATAATACAAACATTGGGATAGATATAAAGGAGCTGGATCCAACTATCCATATCTACTCACAATGACACATAGCATTAGTAGGTTGATAATAATTTCTCCTAATTTGTTAACAGAACAGGAAAAAAAAAGTAACTTTCT